ATATAATACAAACGCATTTCTGCTTTTAAAAGCATATGGAATATGGAACAGGAGATAAATCAACTGCAGGTAGCCGGCTTCCACACTATCCTTTCAGCAATGATTTCTCTTACTGGTTTGGGGGCATTCCATTCTTTATGGGTGAATTCTGAAAGAGTTGTCCATTTCCTATAAGCCACAGTGCAGAAAGGAACAGAGATGAGCTAATGCACTGAACTGATGCTCATGGGCCGGGTGAGGGACATGTAAGGAGACCAGCCTTCACGCTTTCTGACTGCCTCATGCTTTCTCTTGCAAAACTCAGGTAACCGTGACGGATGGTGGTTCTTCTCCAAAGCAGTCAACTGTTTGGGTGGTGGTCCAGGTTCTGGATGAAAATGACAACAAGCCCCAGTTCCCTGAGAAGGTCTACCAGATCAAACTTCCAGAACGTGACCGCAAGAAGAGGGAAGAGCCCATCTACAGGGCTTTTGCTTTTGACAGAGATGAGGGCCCCAATGCAGAAATCTCCTACAGCATCGTGGATGGCAACGATGATGGAAAGTTCTTTATTGACCCGAAAACTGGCATGGTCTCTTCCAGAAAACAGTTTACAGCAGGGAGTTATGACATCCTAACGGTAAGATCTGAATTCTGGCAGCATCCATGGGATAGGGCTAACAGCTTTATTCATGTTTATTTCTTTGAGCAGTAAATCTCTAGCATAGAAAGTGCAGACACACACTGGAAGGCGGCTCTCTGGGAGCCAATTGCAGGCTGACTCTCTCGCCTGTTTGAGTGATGGCCTTGCTTAATGAGACCGTTTCCTGTAGCTGGTTCCATCAGCAAACCTGCCCCAATCCACATCCTGCTGGAGCCTTCACAGCCAACCACACTTCTGGGCCCTAACTTGTTCTCAAGGTGTTGATATGGAGAGCAGTGTGTCTTTAGAATAAGGCAGGAGGTGCAACACACATGTCCACATACATACATACACATGTACACACGTATACTTGTACTCATGCATGTGCACACACATTCATACAATCCCAAACACACCTACACACATTCATGCACCTACACACATACACACATATGCATACATACCTTCACATACATGCACAAACATGCACATGCACACATACATATGTGCACACACATGAACATGCACATGTCATATGCTCACACACATCGACACACATGTCATGTGCCAACATGCATGCATACATGTCATGCACTCATGCATGTACACACATGCCTTGCACTCACATGCATGTGCATACACATCATGTACTCACTCATGCACATGTCATGCACTCATGCATGTACAGACACATCATGCGCTCTCACACGCATACATCATGCGCTCACACACATGCACATGTCATGCACTCACATGCATGCACACATCGTGTGCTCACATGCATGAAGACATGTCATGCACTCACACATGCACACATCATGCACTTGCACACATGCACACATGCACACATGTCATGCACTGACATACAAGCACATACACATATCATGTGCTCACACACACGTCATGCACTCACACACACGCATGCACATTCCCAGATAGATTACTCACACATCTTCTGGATCTCACATGGACTTGACTCCTTCCAAGCCTCACTGTCAGAGGTGAGCCAGGGCCCAGTGATGAGGCGTCACATCAGCTGTTTCTATTCACACAAACTAGTGCCACGTCCCCAGAGCACTACTGTCGTATAAGTGCCACGTTCCGTGTCCAAGGATTCCCTAGCTCTAAATTTGCAGTGACTCACATTAGCTTCCGGCAAGAGTTCAGTGAGGCCCTGGCTCCAGTGCACTCCTCAGTGCCTTCCAGAGCCCCCTCTCACCAGGCATCCACTCTTCTCACCCCGTGATGGAAGGTGGGCTCTTGGCCTAACACTGCAGAAGTGGAAGATCTGAACTTCTGCTGGCTCTGGGCTCTAAGCAGTCTTTCTGTTCTCTCCATATGTGGGTAGATCAAGGCTGTGGACAATGGCCGCCCACAGAAATCCTCCACGGCCCGCCTGCACATCGAATGGATTAAGAAACCGCCGCCTTCTCCTATACCGTTGACTTTCGATGAGCCGTTTTACAACTTCACAGTCATGGAAAGCGATAGAGTAACGGAGATTGTGGGGGTGGTGTCTGTGCAGCCAGCCAACACCCCTCTGTGGTTTGACATCGTTGGTAAGTTCAAGTACCTAGAGCAACCTACGAAAAGCAATGTACTTAGCAGTTTGAAGAAACTAGCCCCAAAAATGAAGTAAAAGACAAGAAAAACTGCTTAAAACTATAGCAAGTTGAAACTAGCCTAAGATGGAAAGACGTACAGTAGAGGTGGGACGAAAGAGCCAGGGAGGTGGGAAACCAACCTGTGCTTTGCCCGACTTGGGCTCCGCTGAACAGGAAGTGCTCTCTGGCTGGGTTTTCCATAGTATGTTATTTACTGCGATCTTAATGTCTTTGTGTGTCATTTAAATTCTATTGTCACACTTGGCTAATCTCATTTCTAAATGTATTGATGGTACTAGAGTTGCTGTCCTCCATTTCTCTCTTTTTCTTCACTTTTTCTGCATTCTGTTCTTTTTTTCTGCTCCTGACTGCCCTGCTTCAAGGTGGCAAGCATGCTCGAGAGATGTTCTATATTCTACAGACAGCTTGTGGGCAGAACTGTTCAACAGAAGGTACCCTTAGCACAAACACATTTGCTAAACTACAGCTAGCCAATCTGCCTTTTACGGTTTTTTTT